AAAAAAAAAAAAAAAAAACTGCATTGACCCATGTCACTTTAGTTTTGTGTATGTCACTGTACATAAATTATATTTCAATAAACTGCATTTACAAAAATAAAATTTTAAAAAAGTCCAACTCTTACATACAACACATAGTTATGAAACTCCTAAAACCTACTATATTAAAAATTTGAGGTACATACAATGGTTGTAATAACAAAGATGCACTATTTTTGCAATATGAATCTAAACATTATTATTACTGTATTATTATGTTAAAGATTTTTTGGTATATATGGAAGTGTTTCTTTAATGTTTTTTATGCATAGAAAGGTACACCATACACTATATCCTAGGACAAACATTTGACTAACTGATGTTAGATATGAACTATACCTAACCGTTCCAACTTTATAAAAATTCACCTCAAAAGACAGACTTAGGAATGGAACTCATTTGTAATCCAGGGACTGCTGGTATTAAGAAAAATGAAGCAGTATTATATACTACCTGGCATTTCTCCATTACAAAAACATTTACCATATGAATTTTATTGTAGACATCTGTTAGCCCATCTTTTACAATCAAGTCTTCAAGCTTGATTCCACCATATGGTGTTGCTCCTCTGTTCATCACATATGGAACATTGGACATGCTCTCCATTCCACCTGCCACCATCACATCCTGCTCAAGCAGCACACAAAACCCAATGTCAATTCAAAAGGTAGGTGCAAGCGTATCCTTTACATAGCTATTTAGAACAGGAAAATGTTCTAAATACGTTTTTTTGATTTTTTTAAACATTTGTTATTGGGTTTTAAAAAAAGTGTTAGTGAATATAAGAAGTACCCTCTTTACCACTTGATCCCAATGAAAGCAAATGGTCTAAAATGTGTAATGACAATTAAAATCAGAGATAAATATTAAGAATGCCAGGAATCTGATATTTCAAATGAATCTCATTTCCAAAAAAGATGTTTTCTGAAATCTTCTAATTTACCTTCTAACCCTTTATTTCACTTATGCTGCCAGAAGTTTAAAAGATCAGAAGTAATCTCAAACTAAAAACTCAAACCCACTGCTATCGAGTTGATTCTGACTCAGAGGTAACCTATAAGACAGAGTATGACTGCCCCCACAGGGTTTCTAGGGCTGTAAATCTTTACAAAGTAGACTACCTCAACTTTCTCCCGTGGAGCAGCTGGTAGGTTCAAAAAGCTGACCTTCTGGTTAGCAGCCCAATGCTTTAACCACAGTGCCACCAGAATGCCTAGAAGTGATCTCAGGTGTGGAAATAATCCTTCTCTGGTGGCACAGTGCCTAAGGCATTTGACTAGTAACCAGAAGGCCGGAGGTTCAAACCCAGCAGCCACTCCTCAGAAGGAAGTTTGGGCAATCTACTTTCATAGTGATACTGCCTTAGAAACCCAAGGAGGGGTTGCTATGAGTCGGAGCCGACTCAATAGCAGTGAGAGAGACCTTAATTGAGGTCCTCATCATTTCTCCCCAAACAGCTGTGGTAATCTTCTACTTGATCTTCAGATATCCAGCCTGACTTCCTCCAAGGCATCATCTACACTCAGCTGAGTTGTTCTGGCTAGAATGTCAGTCTGATGATTTTACTTCTCTTAAAGGAGTCCTCAGCATAGTCCATAAGGCCCTTTATGATCTGACTAACCTCTCCCTTTCAGTCTAAGGTGCCTGAACTTACACCTCTATCAACATGTGAAATGCCTACATTTCCTCTGAAACCAAAAAAACTCCATGATTTCCCTGACCACTTAATTGTATCCTTTTTTAGGAACAATTTCCCTTCTTTGTGTTCCCCAATTACTGTGTAATGCTTTTATTAGTATTAACTACATATTAATTGTATTGTAGCTATGTTTACATGTTGAATCCCTTCATTAGATGAAGTTCCTTTGAGGCTAGAAAACTGTCATATTTATTTTTATATTATCAGGGCCAAGTACAAATAGAAATTTAATAAGTATTAGTAATTAATCCGTCTTACTTTTCAAGTCAACAAAAGAAATTCACTTGTACTACAGGGCTAACTGAAAAAAAAAAAAAAATAGATTGAAGTAAAGCGTTAATATAAATACAAACGACAAATGAAGCCAAAGATATTTTCTCACAGGCTATAATCAGGAATAAAGACAAATAAAAGCTCTACACTAAAGAAACTTAATTATCTTTTTTTTTTTAATTGTGATTTGGGTGAAGATTTACAGAGCAAATTCACTTTCCATACAGCAGTTCACATATACTTTGTCTCATGTCATTGACCAC